AAAAAAAAAAAAAAAAAGAAAACATAAGCCTGCTTTTTGTCAAGAGGTAGATGGTACCTAAGGTTGCTCACTGTAAGCACACTCTAAGAAATGGCCCAGATAAAGAACATTCAGGGTCCTTCAATTCTTGTCATATTCAAAAGAATACTAGAGATATTGGGAAAACAGCATATTGCTTTTCCCAATAGCAAGTGGCTGTCACCATTTTTTAATGCCAAGAAATGCATTCCTCTAAAGGATAAAAAATATTGCCAACAGTGACAATGCTTTCTATGCTGGTGACTTTCAGCAAGAGTCGCCTCTCCCTTGCTGGTGAGGAGCAAGGGAAATCCTGCAATCTTTGCAAAATCCTCCAAGTGATTTTGGTACAACCACTTCACTAATCTAAGCATTGGGAGCCACTGGAAATTTATTGGGGGAAATGACATAATTATATTTTTACTTTATAAAAATAACTCAAGGCATAGTGTAGAAATTGACCAGAGTGGACAGGATGAGGACAGAACCTAATTAAGGAGGGTATTATGGCAACCATGATAAGTGACTCTGAGGTGATTCAGTTAATGGAAATATGGATGTAGAAAATGGACTAAGAAAGGAGTGCCATACTGGAGCTGGGTTGGTGGGTATAGGGGGAGATGATAGGAGAACTGTTGGAATTGACACATTGATGAGGAAATCAGCAGGTAGAAGTTTTGAGAGGAGAGTAAGTTTGAGATAATATGTCTACTTTTTGAAAAGTTGTGTTTGAAAGATTTACTAATTTCAGGAAACCATAAGTTGAGCATAACTGGGCTCAATATATACCAGGATATAAAGGGGCATTCTATAGATAAGGTAGAATCCAACAATGAGATTTTCCTTCTGTTCACTTAAAATTAGCCAGGATTACTCACTTCCCAGTCAGCTATGTCAAACACACACACACACACACACACACACACACACACACACACACGCACCACCAACATTTAGCACACTGTAGTGAACACTGAAGTCTACTAGACACTGTATTCATGGTACAAAAATCTTGTCCAAAAATAGCACAAAAATCTCAATATCCATGGGACTGAATAATATCCAAAATGTACAATACTGTCTGGAGTCATTACTGAATGGATGTAAATGAATGGATAATCCAAACACTTCATACTTAAGCCAACAGTTTCAAACTCTTCTCATTGTAATCCATATTTTAAAAATAATTAGGGAAGGAGGGGGAGATCATTTTTATTTTATTCTCTTATTTCTCTATCTCAAATTTTAACACTCAGTTACCTATGAGTAAAATGCATATGGCAGAGAAGAAAAGAAGCCAGTCTGGATAACTAGTTGATGATAAATGAGAAGTGAAACATCATTCTTGGTCAATACTCCAGCTATTGACCAAGGCCCAGCCATTTCATAGACAAAAACTGACATTCAATTGTTATTTTTGATCTATCTGCTTTGCTGCAAAATTAGGTTTAGACACAAATGTCTGAGGCTTCAAAAGTTGGTAAGAGGATGAAAATGGATTTTCATAAGTCTGAATCACTGATATTTTAGTAAATTCAATAAAGACAAAAATTAACCTTGGCTCTTGGAATATATCTATAGATAATGAGTGTTTCTTCACTGTGTACAGAGTCATGCTCTTACCTGATTGCAGGTATTGATGTCTATGCCCCCCTTCAGATATTCCACTACTTTGTCCAGGTTACCTGCTCTGGCAGCACGGAGGAAGCTTGCATTGCTGTCAGACTGTGAGAAAAAGAAAAGACTTTTAGGTTATTACTGATAAAATAAAAACATATCAAAGACAGAAAGACAAAGAAAGTTTACACTGCAGGTAAAAAAGCTGTAGTTGCAAAATACCTCAATACTGAGTTTAAAACACTGAACAATAATTCATAGGATAAGGTAGCAACTTCGTAGTATTTCTAGAGAGTTGTTTAAAGTCAATGTGTTCTGCTATGTTACAGAGTGTAGAAGAACTACTAAAATAAAAATACTCATTACTGCTTTATTTTAAATCTTTGGCCACATTTGAAGATGAATTTACACTACCCCCAAATCCACTGTTACCCATTCATTTTAGCTTTGAGATGCTTGCGACCTTACAGTAAGCCTAATGTCAAGCCAAAAAGGAATCAAAATAGTAAAAGAAATTAAAGACACTGGGTTTCTTCTTTCTTTTCCTTTACTGTTTGGTTTTCAGAAAAGTCTGAGGGAGAATGCTGAGCATGGGTCCCTTGGTATTCATCTGTCCTCATTACAAGAGAAAAACAGAAAGCTCCGAGGATGCTTTGAGGAAAGAGGATAGCACTAGTGTGGACTGGGCCAATGCAAATTTTGTGATCCCAGTGATTTTGGGAAAACAAGATTCAATTTAACCCAGCTGACATAATACCAAACTAAAATCCCTTGATAAAAATGAGCACTCTTAACGGAGGCTGCTTTTTAAGTCCTCGTCTTCCCCCAGCACCTTTCAAAATCTGATCATGGAAGAAACAGCTGAATTTTCCCCACAGAACATCCAGAAGAGAGCCGCTCCAGAGATGAAGCCATAGTCACCTGACTCTCTGGCTTATTGGCAAAGCCTGACTTTCAAATCTTAGCCCAATAACGATGATAAACTTTGTTAGGTTCCAAGACACTTGTGTAACTTTATAATTCTTCTTGTGGTATAGCATCTGACTAAAGAGAATGTGGTAACATGAAAAGGGATGCCACTGACCTACTAGGAAGTGAGACACCATTGTGACAGCTTGTAATCCAGCACTGTCCCCAGTAGGCTACACTGCCTCTCTCCCTTGAAGAATGTGCTTGGCAGGGGCTCCTGGCACACTCTTGCAGACCTATTCATTATGGCTGGTGATGATGTACAGAGATAGAAATGGAGGTATTTTTTCTGGGAGCCTCAAATAGGGAATTATTTGCATACCGTTCAAATGATTTACACATGGGAAGATGGAAAACCCAAGACTAAATTACCTTACTTTTAACCCAAATACCACAATGATTTATATAGTTATAAATCAGACAGATAATTTACAAAGAGTTGAAAGGTATGACCGAAATCTATACATCTGGAATTCATGCTCTCACTCTTTAGAAGTCTATCATTTGGTTAACGCCTGACTGTCCTTCCCTCCCTGCATGGCTGTGATCTGTAGTGCCTCACTCTTTGCCTCTCCTGAAAGCTATGCCCATGGCAGGGTGCCCTAAGTGTATCTGCAATGCCACAGTGACTGAGTTGTGACTCATTTTAAACTGCCTATTCGATGAAATTATTTTGTGGTTTGCGGCAAATTCTAATCTCCAGGAAGATTTTTCCATCTCAGGTTTCTTGCCACAGCACTTAAAAGTGAAAGATCATACTATGCATTATGTTATGTCAATATCTCACAGGAAACATTAGTTACTATAAAAAAACTAAAATGAAACACTATTAGGTCACAGAAAGTATGACATTATTTTCCATATATAGTTTTTTTTTTTAATTTTTTTTTTCTTTTTCAACGTTTTATTTATTTTTTGGGGGACAGAGAGAGACAGAGCATGAACGGGGGAGGGGCAGAGAGAGAGGGAGACACAGAATCGGAAACAGGCTCCAGGCTCTGAGCCATCAGCCCAGAGCCTGACGCGAGGCTCGAACTCCCGGACCGCGAGATCGTGACCTGGCTGAAGTCGGACGCTTAACCGACTGCGCCACCCAGGCGCCCCTATAGTTTTTTAAAAAGTAAGTCTATGCACTATATATTCTATATTATATTAGAGATTATGCCTAGTAACTACTGTTATCTTGTACATGAGGCTAAATAATTATAGTTAACATTCACTCGTTACTGTGGGTCAGGCACAGAGCTAAGGGAGCCAGTCATATGTATTATATCCTTAATACTCACAATAACACTATGAGAAAGAAGCTATTGTTATGCTCATTTAATAGGTGAGGTTTAGAAGATCTCCAAGGTCACACAATTATGTAGTGGAAGATCCAAGATTTAACTTATGTTTATCAGTCCAGAGCTAGTCTTAACTGCTACTCTATCTCACTCCTCCAAAGCATCAAAGCAGATGTTACTACAGATACCTAACCTATGAGCTATAGATTGGTTTCAGTTGTGAGAAAACTGTTACGCCCTTGGTCTACATATTTGCTCTGCAAATCATGGCACTTCCTAAATAGAGTGCCTCAGCTGGAGAGAGAATTTTTGGCTGACATCCCTGTCCCCACATCTATCAGCCATCTATACACCTAGAAAAAGTAAGAGCTGGCTTGTGCTCTTTGCGGATGACATGATACTCTATATGGAAAACCCAAAAGATCCCACCAAAAAAACTGCCAGAACTGATTCATGAATTCAGCAAAGTTGCAGGATATAAAATCAATGTAGAGATATCGGTTGCATTCCTATACACCAACAATGAAGCAACAGAAAGAGAAATCAAGTAATCGATCCCATTTACAATTGCACCAAAACCCATAAAATACCTAGGAATGAATCTAACCAAAGAGGTGAAAAATCTGTACACTGAAAACAAAAGAAAGCTTATGAAAGAAATTGAAGGAGACACACACCAAAAAATGGAAAAATATTCCATGCTCCTGGATAGGAAGAACAAATATTGTTAAAATGTCAATACTACTCAAAGCAATCTACATATTTAATGCAATCCTTACCAAAATAACACCAGCATTCTTCACAGAGTTAGAACAAACAATTCTAAAATTTGTGTGGAACCAGAAAAGACCCGAATAGCCAAAGCAATCTTGAAAAAGAAAACCAAAGCAGGAGGCATCACAATCCTGGACTTCAAGTTGTATAACAAAGCTGTAATCATTAAGACAGTATGGTACTGGCACAAAAACAGACACTCAGAGAACAGAATAGAAAACCCAGAAATGGACCCACAAACGTATGGCCAACTAATCTTTGACAAAGCAGGAAAGAATATCTAATGGAATAAAAGACAGTCTCTTCAGCAAGTGGTGCTGGGAAAACTGGTCAGTGACATACAGAAAAATGAACCTTGACCACTTTCATACACCATACGCAAAAATAAACTCAAAATGGATGAAAGACCTCAATGTAAGACAAGAAGCCATCAAAATCCTCGAGGAGAAAGCACGCAAAAATCTCTTTGATCTTGGCCACAGCAACTTCTTATTCAACATGTCTCCAGAGGCAAGGAAGGGACACAAAGGCAAAGATGAACTATTGGGACCGCATCAAAATAAAAAGCTTCTGCACAGCGAAGGAAACAATCAGCAAAACTAAAAGGCAACCAATGGAATGGGAGAAGATATTTGCAAACGACATACCAGATAAAGGGTTAGTATCCAAAATCTATAAAGAACTTATCAAACTCAACACCCAAAAAACAAATAATCCAGTGAAGAAATGGGCAAAAGACATGAATAGACATTTCTCCAAAGAAGACATCCAGATAGCCAACCGACACATGAAAAAATGCTCCACATCGTTCATCATCAGGGAAATACAAATCAAAACCACAATGAGATACCACCTCACACCTGTCAGAATGGCTCACATTAATAACTCAGGCAACAACAGATGTTGGCGAGAATGCAGAGAAAGAGGATCTCTTTTGCATTGTTGGTGGCAATACAAGCTGGTGCAGCCACTCTGGAAAACAATATAGAGGTTCCTCAAGAAATTAAAAATAGAACTACCCTACGACCCAGCAATTGCACGACTAGGTATTTATCCAAGGGATAAAGGTATGCTGTTTCAAAGTGGCACACGCACCCCCATGTTTATAGCAACACTATCAACAATAGCCAAAGTATGGAAAGAGCGCAAACATCCATCGATGGATGAGTGGATAAAGAGGATGTGGTATATATATATATACATAATGGAATATTACTCAGCAATCAAAAAGAATGAAATCTTGCAATTTGCAACTACGTGGGTGGAACAAGAGGGTAGTATACTAAGCGAAGTTAGTCAGAGAAAGACAAATATCATGTGACTTCACTCATATGAGGACTTTAAGATACAAAACAGATGAACATAAGGGAAGGGAAGTATAAATCATATAAAACCAGGGAGGGGAACAAAAACATAAGAGACTCTTAAATATGGAGAACAGAGGGTTACTGGAGGGGGTTGTGGGAGGGGGAATGGGCTAAATGGGTAAGGGGCATTAAGGAATCTACTCCTGAAATCATTGTTGCAACATATGCTAACTAACTTAGATGTAAATTAAAAAAGAAAAAAAAAGAGAAAAAATATAAACAAATAAAGTTTAAAGGCAAGCAAAAGTATCATAAATGTGATAAGGTAAGGGAAAAAAAGCAAGAAGATGCTAACTGTATAATTCAGCTAGTGGCTATTTCTGAGGGAAGTCAGGGGTAGGGATGAAATGGGAGGGGGTACGTAAGATGTGTTGTTAATGGTGATATTCGAGTTCTTGGTTTGAGAGGCGCATTTGCTGGTGCTCATTATAAAATGAAATAAACTAAATCCGTGGAGTGGATGAAAGCTAAAAAAAAAAAAAAAAAAAAAAAAAAAAAAAAGAGCTGGCTTGTGAAAAACTACTTAGAAACATAATCTTTGGGGAATGAGGAGAAGAGGGGGTGAAGCACACATTATATTAAAAAGCCAGTGGACTATCTCTGCCTACCTGCCTAATAGGATTAAACTCAGGAGCTAAGATCAGGGTGCTCTGTCATTCTGGTAAAAAAAAAGAATGCCTAGAATAAGTAGAGCCAGAGGGAACACCTGATC